CCATATATCCACCCTATCCATACTATCCAGCCATCCATCCACCTAACTATCCATCCTATTTATCCATCCCATCCATCCATCCATCCATTAATCAATCCATCCCATCCATCCTCACTCCTCTATCACTTGTCCATCTGACAGCATGCAATACTCCCTACCCTGTCCCCTGCACAAACGTCAGTAAAGAGTGGGAGGGAGGGCTGGGAGCCACTCACATGAGGGTGAGGTCTTGGGGAGCCCTGCAGGGCTGCGTGCTGACCACCTGCTCTCTCAGTGCATCCAGCGAACAGCTGTAGACAAAGACTGGGCAGCGGGAACGTGGCCCTTCCCCACCTTCGGTTTGGGAGGCCTGACGCCCAGGCCAGGCCTGTGGGTCCTTTCCAGGAGGCACAGAGAGCTCCCCCTGATCCTGGGTTTTGCCTATGGGGAATAGGAGGAGAGGTATCATCACTATAGTCACCCTTACCACCTGCAACTGCCTGCCCCAAATCCCTTTAGCTCTCTTCTGTGCCTGTTAAGACTCTGTGGAAATATGTCTCCTAGCACAGGGCCTGGGACACAGCGGGTGCTTAATGAATGATGATGACTGTCTCCATGTCCCAGTGGTCCACAGCCTGAGTCTCACTGGGCCCTACACTTCCCTGTCCCCGCCCCACAGGAGAGGCCTTACTGCTGGCAGGGGTCACGCTGAGGGCAGGGATCAGGGCCTTGGTAGTCTTCTGACCCACTCCTCCCAAATCCTCAGGGTTAGAGATGGCATTCCACTCTCCCAATGCAGGTCTTGTCTCTTCCTGAAGGGGCCGGCCAAGACCACAAGCAACTAGTCGTTGGACATCTGGGAGCGTGTGGAGAGAAAGAAGTACTGAAATTTCAAAGAATTCAGGGGGACGGGGACGGCCCACGATCCCCTTGAGGATTTCTGAGGAAAAGCTGGACCCACGACAAGAACCACAGCAAGACAACGCTGGCCATCTGAGGGCCAAGAGGAAAGGAGGGGACAACGACTAGCCTGGCAGCCCGCGGGGATTTGGCAACAATAGAAATCAAATGCTTCAGGGGAAGATGAGGCTCTGGGAGTTCATGGTTGTGGCTGAAAGGGAGGGCACACTCTCCAGATGGGATTAAGTTCTGATTCCACAAATACAAATTATTTTCTTCAAGAGGAAGCCCTGGGGACTCCATTTTCAGGTGGGGCAGGAAGGGTCCCCAGTGACTTTTAGCCTGCCCTGGAGCAAACTCCAGTTCTGCTTCTGCTCCATGATCTCCAGTGACGGGGAGCTCACCACTTCCCAAGGCAGCCCAGTGAATGCGTGGATGTCCCTGCTCCCCAGTTCCAGAGTGGGGAGCAGCTGCAGCTGTGGGGGACAGCAAGGCCATACCTGTGAGGGTGCTTGGGAGGAAGGTGAGCAGCACGTGCTGCGGTGTCACGAGCCGGCCATAGCAGCGCCACTGAGGCGGTGAGGTGTCCGCGGGAGGCTGTGTGGAGGCCAAGGGAGCAGGCCCTTACAAGAAGGCAGATACCAGTCTGTCCACCCTCAATATCTCCCTCCCCAACCCTGCCCCGACTAGCTTCAGAAGGAGGCCCAGGAAAGAGAATCCAGACGGACCAGAGGTGTGACCACAAAGTTACTCACATCCTGAGAGCTGCCCACGCGGCCTTGAAGCTCCAGGCTCCCAGAGCCGCCCGAGGGATGCACCTCTGGAAGAAGGACGGTGATGGTGTTGGGGGGAGTCCGGGCCAGGGCTTTAGTCAGAGGGATGGTAAGTGGGGTGGGGACCTGGGGGGTCAAGATGCTCTCACCTGGACCCAGGGCTCCCCACTGTAGCACCTGGCTCAGAAAGGTCTTTTGTTCAGCAGCAGAAAGAGGGAGCTCACGGTCACTCAGCTCCTGCCCCAAGCAGCGGTGCAGCAGGCCCAGCAGCGTCTCATTGGCAGGACAGTGGGCCTCGGGACTGGGGCCTTCAGCTTCTGCCCAGCACAGATTGTGCTCAAAACCCAGCCCCTGCTCCCCCATGCCCACTCCAACATTGGCCCTGGGGGTCCCTGCCAAGCCCCTGCCATAGAACACCCTAAGAACATGCCCTCCCCAACACAGGACCCCCTGAGAACCTGCCCTCCCCCACATAGGACCTCCTGAGGCCCTGCCTGCGCCCCCATAGGATCTCCTAAGGCCCTGCCCCCCCCATAGGACTCCAAAGCCCTGCCCTCTCCTTATGGGGGGACCACCTGAGGACCTGCCCACCCCACCACAGGATACCCTGAGGACCTGCCCTCCTTCCCACAGGACCCCATGAGGACCTGCCTTCCTCCCCATAGGACCTCCTGAGGACCTGCCCATGTCCCATAGGACACCCTGAGGACATGCCTTTCTCCCCACAGGACACCCTAAGCACCTACTTCTCGCCACCCATAGGACCTTCTGAGGTCCTGCCCTGTATCCCACTCTGCCCTCCCTTTGTCAGCCTGGAGGGTCCCGGATAAGCCACCTTTGGTGAGCAGGACAAAGGATGTCTGCATCCTCTGGCACCGCAGCAGCAGCTGCATCAGATCAAAACGAAACGGGATCTCATGGACACAGAGGCCCCCGGCCATGTCACGTCCTGTGATGGGGATGGGGGAGGGCTTAAGAGCCTGAGCCCGGTGTGGGCACCAGGGAGCTCCCTCCCAGCCTTGCTGCCCAGCACTGACCATCAGGAGCCCTGGGCTCAGGAGGCGGGGGACTCCACTCTTTGCTCTGGCAGAGATGGCTCAGGTATTCGAAGCTGAGCATGGAGCCGACGCAGGCGGCGTCCCTGGGAAAGAGCTGCAAAGAGGGGAGCGCAGAGGTGGCATTCAGGGCCCTGCCCTCAACCATGCCAGGGGCCAGCTCTGAGGCAACGGGGTCTGGACTCACCGCACGGGGAATCTCAGGGTAGGTCAGGCCGCGAAGATGCCTGCAGCCCTCGGGGCCAGCGCCCACGCGCCCACACTGGGGCTCCACCCAGGCCTCAGTGACCAGGTTCAGCTCGGAATCCCCCTCCAGGCCCTCCACTTCGGCATCATTGTCATCATCTGTAGAAAAGCTGCCCAGGGAAGGCCCTCAGTGCCAGCAGGGGGATGGGTCCCAGATGCTGCAGGGGGAGGGCTCAGGCAGCCCAACTGGCACCCGATCCCCTGCTGGGAGTGCCTGCCTGGGCACTGTGGGCACCCTCTGGCCACACAGGCAGGTGTCAAGCTGGGGCATCCCTGGGTTCCAGGCTCACCTGTCCTTGGTGGAGGTGGAATGAGGAGGAAAGAGGAGATACTGGACAATGCACGTGGGGATCTCGTTTCCTCCTGCCACTCCAGGAGATTCGCTCTGTCAGCAGAGACAGGGACATGAGAGATGCAAACATACACCCCTGCCACCCTGCTCCTGCTGGCGCTCAGCTTAGGGCGGAAGTGCTCCTGCTGAGAAGTATGAGATGGGTCCTTGTGGCCCCACAGGAGCCCTGTCAAGCCCGAAACGCTGCATGCGCCACCCTGGGCCTGAGGACCGGAGAGGAGAGGTTTATGGTCAACATCTGCCGGGGTGGGGGGGGCGCCATATCATATGGCAGGCCCTGAGGACAGGGGAGAGGGCAAGAGCTGTGGCTGTACCATCAACTGGTGCAGAGAGAAGGGCCCGGCTGCCTCTGCAGATCCCGAGCCTAGGCCTGAGCGGCGAAGGAGAGGGGGTGCTGGTCTGTACCAGACAGGGCTCGCTCTGCAGAAGCCTTCCTGTGGCAGGAGCCATACACCCCAGGGGTTCTGGGGACGGCTGGAAGGCCGGCCGGCCGGCCCAGAAACTGTACCAGCCCATTGGCACGTCAGCATGAGATGGCTGGGCTCGGGCACTGGGCACATGCTTTGCAAGTTAGTCATTTGTTAATGCTCCACTAAGAAACCCGTCCTCTGTCTCAGCATCAAAGGATAAGGAAGGGGTAGCCAAGAGGAAGTTAGACAGAACTAGGGATGTAAAGCTCCCAGGACAGGCCATGGCGTGGAGGCAATGGGAGAGTGGGAAGGAGGTGCCAGGGGCTCGGAGACACTTCTGTGTCTCCCTGGGTACTGGGGGCAGACGAGTTACCTGAGGCTGGGAGGGGCATCACTCAGGAACGACGAGGTTTAAATTACTCGTGTGTTTGGGGGATGGAGGGGCGTGGAGGTGGAAGGGGCTCCGTGGGGATGGGAACAGGAGAAGATACCTGGATTGGAAGCTCCAGGACCATCGTGATGATCCCGTCCCCACTGGAGGCAAAATGGAAACCTTCAGCCAAACGGACTCTTGAGTCAAGAAGAGATTAAACCAGAAATGAGGAATCAAGAGTGTCCAGGAAAACCCTCGCACACCCCACTGCCTTTGAAGGGCTCGGGAGGAACGTGCCAAGGCCACACCACTTACTCGGTAAGCGTGGAAAGCAGCTGAGCAACAGCACTAAGAGGCAGAACAGGGGCCAGGGCAGGTTGGACAGTCCAGACCCATCGCTGATGGTAGAGGTAGCGTGACAGGGAGGCCAGGCTGGAGGAGGCTGAGCGGCCAGATACCAGAGGCAACGGTCCTGGAGGCTCCAGGGTCAGCATGAAGGGTGCGCGGTAATCCAGGGGCAGCTTCTCATACCTGTGCATCAGGGGACCCAAGTAATTGCTCCCCATCTCCCCAAGGGCTGCACCTCCCAATGCTCCCAGCTTTCTCTCGAGGTCCCGTCAGGGCCAAGGCTTCTGTCTCCAAGATAAGGCCTCTGGTCTCCCCGCCAGCTACTTCCCTACATCAAGGCTACTGTCTCTAAATGTCAGCCTCTGGCCCCACAGGCCCCATCTCAGACCTCCTGGACAACTTACTGCCTCTTCAGAGCCCTCAATCCTCCCTCAAGTCCAATCCAAAAAACATTTCCTCAGCACCTTCACTGAGTAGGCAGTGTGCTTCCCAATTCTGAAAGGAGCTTTCAAAGGAAAAAAGAAAATAACTAGAACCCAAGAGGGTGCCCATCAGCTGGGGAATGGTTAACAAATTACGGCAGACGAATGTAACAGAATGTTACCCAATCTAAGAAATGAGGAAAGAACGATTTCAGAGAGCCCCGGGCAATCTCAACTGCCAACAGAGCAAAGGAAGTTGACACGAGGACAAGATGGGAAAGACAAACATTGTGGAAAGACTCGAGAACCCCGATCAAAGTCCTGACCGACAGCGAAGTGCACTCCCTGCCTGCTGACAGGAAGCGATGGGCACAAGGTCCAGCAAAGCACATGGCCACTGGGGGGATTGCTGCCGCTTAACAACGCTAGTTAGAATAGGGGAGGGGAGCAATAGCAATGCCGAAAAAAGTGGGCCACTGAAACATTTTAAACATTTTTGATAATGCGTATCGTCTCCTCTCTTCTGCAGTTCCAGTACCTGACTCACGGGCTCCCCCCCCCCCCCAACTTCTGTTCCAATCCTAGGGGATTTCAACCTTTAAGGTGCCAGCCCTCTAACACCCTGGCCTGCCAGTTCAACTCCTGTGATCTTCACTCTGCCTGAGCCATGAATGGGGTCAGCCAGCTTCTCATCTCCCCCACCAATAACTGTTATGTGGTTCTTCTCTCTGGTATCCCTGTGCCTCACTCGCCATGCCCACTTTCCCCGCAGTCTCTGTGAAGGTGGCCCCTCCGGCCCTTCCCCACTGCCAGCCCCACATCTGCACACACTCCCGACCCAGCCTCTTCCACATCATCACCACCTCTCCCCCTCTCGATACTTTCCCTGCTGCCCATAACTTCCTAACACAAAAAAACTCTCCCTGGGCCTCCCCACCCCCTCAGTCTATTGTTCTGCCTTCGCTCTTCCCTTTCACAGATAAACTCCTAGAAAAAGTCCACACTGGCTGCCTCATTTCTTCCCTCCTCATTTCTCAACCTCTGCAATCCACCCCCTACCTCTCCATTCAATGACACAGCTCTCCAAGGTCACCAGGGATCTCTAGATTGCATAATCTTATGGCCTTTTCTCAATCCTCATCCGTTTCCATGGGTTCAATGATTATCTCTAGAAAGATGACTCCCAGATCTGGAAATCCATCCTCCAGCTTGCTCCTGCCTATTGGTCATGTCATCTTCAATGCGCCCAAAACTGAATCCATTCTCTACCCTCTCCACCTCCCCATCCCACGACTTCTCTTACTGTCAGGGCCATCCTCCTAATCACTCAGGCTTCGCATCACACTGTCATCCTCAACTCCTCACTCCCACTCATTCCCCACATCTAATCGGTTAGCAAATCTTGTTTATTCTACCTTCCCAACACCTCTCACATACGTTTCTTCTCTCCACTCACCTGGCCGCCATCTTCGCTCTCGTTCTCCACCTCAGCACCTTTTGCCTAAAAGATGCAATTGTCTCCCAACTGCTCCCTCCGCCTCCAACCTCCGCCCATTCTGAGGATCCTCCACACAACTTCCAAAGTGATTCACTTGATTACAGGTCTGACCATGTCACTCTACCAGAGATCAGAAAGCTCCAGAGGCTCCCTAATATCTTTAAAATAAAGTTCAAACCCCTGTTGAGCATTTAAGGCCCTTCACAACCTAACTCCTTTCTATCTTCTCCAACTGATTACACATTACTCTCACTTGCACACTCTACGGGACAGTCAACGGGTCTTGCTATTCCTACTAGATGACTTTCCTGGTCTTGCCTCTAGGCCTTTGGCCCAGGCTTTTCCCATTGCCTGGAATGCCCTCCCTCCTCACCTCAGCCTCTTAGAATCCCTAGCTCCCTTAAAAGCTCAGGTCAGGGGCAGTTAGGTGGCGCAGTGGATAGAGCACCGGCCCTGAAGTCAGGAGGACCTGAGTTCAAATCCGGCCTCAGACCAAACACTTGACACTTACTAGCTGTGTGACCCTGGGCAAGTCACTTAACCCCAAACACCTAAAAAACAAAACAAAACAAAACAAAAAAAAAAAAACAAAACCAAAAGCTCAGGTCAAATGCCAGTGCCTATGTGAGGGCTTTCCTGATCCCTTCAGTTACCAGAGCCCCATCCCCAAGTGATTTTGTATTTCCCTTGTCTTCTACTTCTGTTTATATACACTGGTCCTCCAGTAAACTCCCTGAGGACAGGGGCTGTTTCTTTTCTGTCTTGTATCCCCAGCACCCAGTACAGTGCCTGGCATACAGTAGGGTGAATAATAAATGTTTGTCTAGTGATTGAACCAACCCATGGGAAGTGATGACATCACCTGAAGAGTTGACAGAGAGAAGGAAAGAGGATCCTGGAAAGAGCCCTGGGGACACATCTGCTTAGTGGGCAGGACGGAGGATGCAGTTTGGCAAGGCAAAAAAAAGCAACAGGACAAGGTCAACACTCAGTGTTTAAGCAGAGGGGAAGTGTACAGGTTGCAGGGTCAAGACTCCAAAGGGAAGGGACAGCTAGGTGGCGCAGTGGATAGAGCACTGGCCCTGAAGTCAGAAGGACCTGAGTTCAAATCCAGCCTCAGACCAAACACTAGACACTTACTAGCTGTGTGACCCTGGGCAAGTCACTTAACCCCAATTGCCTAACCAAAAAAAAAAAAAAAAAAACTCCAAAGTGAAAACAGGGAGGCCCAAGCAGTGGCAGAAGGCTGGGAGAGAAGACAGGAATGGCCAGAGATCTCCATGAGGACAAATGACCTAGACAACCTAGAAGCTGGGGACAGCCAGCACTTGGAGAGGGCAGAAACATGAAGGAGCAGGGCTGCCCAGCAATGGCAGCAGCAGGAGGAGACAGCGGGGAACAAAGGCCCAGCCCGTGCAGTGGCAGAAGGCCAGAGCCCCAGAGTCCGCTAGGGACAAACAGGTCTCCCCAGGAGCCAGTTACTACGAAAGAGGCAGGAGGAACTCCAACGTGAAAGGAGCTTTTGTTCAGGAGAAAGCGGGAGGGTTCATGGAAGGGGCCGGGGAGAAGGGAAGGGTCAGAGGCGTTTTAAGAAGGAAGGAGAGGGGGGCTGCTAGTCATGGGGTGGGGAGGCAGCACCATCTGAATGCAGTTCTCTGTACAAAGGTCCTTAGAGCCGAGACTGACATCGGTTAAGGTCCCTTCCTTCAACCTCCCAGTCTCCCCAGAACCCCTCAGTTCCCACTCAGTCCCATCAGCACCCAGAAACCTTCCTTCACATTTCTAAGTCTCGACTCAAAGTCCTGTCTCCTCCTGACCCCTCAGTCTCTCCTTCTGATGCCTGTCATAACCCCCAGACCCCCTTAGCACCTTGTAGACCCCACAGAGCCCACCCCATTAGACAACTCCCTCAGACCCATCTGACCTGATCAGCAGCTTGTCCAGGGGCTTCTGCAGGACGATCAAGCAGGGCCGATCAGACAGGGTGGGTTGAGGCACAAGGAGTGGAGGAGACTTGGAGGGGGAGCTACCTGCCCCCAGCCCTTTCCGCTTCACCTTGGGGGTGGCCTCCTTGCTCTGCACCCGGTGGGGGAAGCGCAGCTTCAAGATCTCCTCCCGCAGCTCATCCACAATCTGGAAGCCCAAACCCAGGAACAATGGGTCATACCCTTTTCCCTCAACGATGGTCAAAGGATCATGGAATTCCAGTTCTACGGCTGGCTGAAAGTCACTGAGTCCAACCCCTTCATTGTACAGATAAAGAAACTGAGGCCAGAGAGAAGAAAGGCCTTACTATAAGGCAGTAAGAGCAGTAAGTGACAGATTCAGGATTCCAACCCAGCTCTGTCATCTCCAAACCCTGCGGCCGATCCCACCCACCTTGGACACATGGAGCTGAGGGAGGGGGAGTGAATTCACCCAGACCCTAAGGGGGAGCCGGGTGGAGGGGAAGCAATGTTAGAGAGAGAGGAACAAGTGTTCTACGTCCTATGCCTACCTCCCTGGGCCCCCGAGGTCACTGCCTTCCCGGGGAAGAATTCACATTAACTGTATTCCAACCCAAGCTACCCCCCAGGCCTCCTGACCTCACCTTGTTGCGTAATTGGGCTGGTGTGCCAATGGGGAAACCAAGTCTGAGCACCATGCACGGAGCTTTGGAGATAATTCGGACCATGTAGAAGGAGGAAGGGGGCAGGTCTGGGGCACTGCGGAGACATGGGAGGTTAGCAGCGGTGGGCTAAATAGGGGGTCAGTCAGTAGGGCAAGTGGGAGAAACCCAAAAGTCACATGAGAAAGAAAGCTTAGGGATCAATGGAAATGGAAGACTCAGGCTGTGGATAAGAGACTCGAAGGTCCTCAACAGCAGAAGGGCAAGGTAGTGGGCAACATGCAGATGTCACGTAGCAAGGTCCCACCCAACAACACCGCAAGACAACTCAATGCTGTGTCAAACAGTACTCAGTCTACTTCTCTCTCACATACATATATACACAAAGGTATACTGTCCTCACCCTCTTCACACCAACCTCCCCCTACTACCCATCCATATGAACATCTGTTTGTTCTCTTGGTCACTTATATGATACTAAAAAAATCTGAGGGCTTTACTTTCTTCCCCTCCTTCAGATACCTTGTATATTGACCATTTCCAACAGAGATTTCCTCTATATTTACTCTTGGCCCAATTTAACTGCTTTTCCTGTCTTTTCTTCTCTAATGCCATGTCTGCCTCCTCTGAAAGGACTCAGGTCCAAGTATGGCGGTTCCACCACCCTCCATGGAGAAGAGGCTGGTTAAAATGGTTTTTGCAGATCTTTTCCATTTTTTCTTCTCTTTGTATTCTTTCTTCCATTTTCATTTTTGAATGCCCTTGGATTGACTTTGCTTAGTTGGACAGCTTGTCAGGTTTTCTTTAGACTGGTTTTACCTTCCACCGCCTCTCTACGCTTTATGAGATGATACTGCTCATAACCATCCATCACTCTTTCTGGTAAGATTTTAAAAATGAGTTTACATCTGAACACAGTGTTGCCCTTGGCAACTATCCTTCCTTTTGGCAAGTAAGTTGGATATTTGCAGGCTGAGGCCTTTTTGGCCTCTCCGTTGTGATTTTAAATGGTTTACTTTCTGGAAGAAAGTGTTATGGCTGGTATCATTTCTATTGTCCATTTCTCATTTTTGACGTTCAATTACTTGTTTAAATGGTTGTTGTTTCAATGATACACAGTACCTGGTTCTTGTTATTATCCTTTCTTTTCATACTTTACTAAGTATGGTAGTCACTTGACTGACTCAGGGATAACTCCTGCAACAATAAAAGTCTTTTACTCTTAATGTATCATCGATCTCACATTTTATGATGTACACAGTCCAACCCATACAATAAAGGAATTGTCCTTCACCTTGTTTGTGAAGAATCTTGAGAAGAAGGAGTCATCCTTCTCTGAAGCCAACTCAGTCCCCAGTTCAGTCCTTATTGCTAGAAGTCTGTCCTGACATGAAGCCTCAATTTGCCTCTTTGCCACTTTCTCCCCCTGCTCCTGGTTCTGCTCCAGGAGCCAAATATAACAAATCTAAACTCTCCTCCCATGACAGCCCTTCCAATAATTGGGCTATTTTAACTCCCCAAAACCTTCTCTTCTCCAGGTTAAGTATGCCCAGGTCCTTCAGCTGATCCTCACACATCAATTATTCATGACCCACAGCTATTCTGGTTGCCCACCTCTGGACCTTCTAGCTTATCACATCCTTCTTAAACTATGGTCTCCAATCCTGGACACAATATTTCTGATGAAACCTGGCAAGGAGAGAGCACTGGGGTACCACCACCTCCCCATTTCCAGAAGCACTGTCTCTCCTGATCGAGCACAACATCTTTTTTGGCTGCTGTATCACACTTCTCACTTCTGAGTGTGCAGTCTACTAAAATCCCCATGGGGATTTGGTCACAAGTGCTCTCTGCCTTCCCCATATTGTCCTTGTGAAGTTGATTTCCTTTTGTACCTGAGTGTGAGACTTTACATTTGTCCCTACTGAAATTCACCTTATTAGATTCAGACCACTGCTCTACTCCGTCAACAGCCTGACTTTGTCTTCCAGTGTGTTAATGATCTCTCCCAGCTTTGTGTCATCTACAGATTTGATAAGCATGCCATCCATGCTCTGATAACAATGTCATCACTGATAACAATGTTAAACAGGAAAGGGTCAAACAGAGATCACTGGGATGCTCCACTTAAGACCTTCTGCCATGCAGACAAGGAACCATTAAAACTATTCCCTGAGTCTGGCCATCCAACCAATTCGAAACCACTGATTACATTATCATCTTCTCCACAAGAATAGTATGAGAAAATTTATCAAAACCTTTGCTAAAATCCAGGTACCACAGCACCCTCTTCCTCTATTAGTTTACTATTTCAGTTAAAAAATGGAATGAGGCTAGGCTGACATCATCTGTTTTTGATGATAACATGGTGGCCCTTTGTGATCACAGCCTTCCTTTCTAGATCCTCACCAATCACCTCTTTCATGATCTATTCTAAAATCTTCCCAGGAATCAAACTCGCCGACCTATAGTTTACACTCTTTTTCTTCCCTTTTGTAAAAATCAGGACATTTGCTCATTTCCAGTCTTGGAAGGTCTCTCCAGTTGTCCACTGTCTTTTAAATATTACTGACATTGAACTCAGCAATAATATCTAGTAGTTCTTTCAGGATCAAAGATGCTGCTAATTTGGGCCACATGATTTTAATTCATTTGGGGCAGTGAGGTATTCTCCTAACATGCTCTTATTTATCTTGGGTATCAACTCCATTGGCCAACTTTGTTTTTTCACTTTCAGCATAAAGATCCTTCTTTACAGAAGACAAAAAAAAAGAAGCAAAGTAAGAAACGAGTGGTAATTTTTTCTCTCTGTTGTCAGTTAACTTGTCCCATCCACCCCAAGAAAAGGTCTTCTCTCTTCTTTCCCCAAATTAGCTTTAACCTTGCTTCCTGTCCTTAGCACCACTTGCTGTCCTCAGCTCTCCTGACACAACTTTCACAAGACCGTGCCATATTCTTAGATTCATTTTCTGTTACTTGGTTTAGCTTGCATCTTCTGTACATTTCTTTTAAAGACTGAAGTTAAGTTGCTGAGTCCTTAGGCATACCTATCGATCTCCATGGGCAAATCCCATTTTTCTTCCTCTCTGGGAATGTTTCCCTTTGAGTCTTCAGGCTTTCCTCCTTGAGCATTTCCCATGCTTCCTGGGCTGACTTTCCTGAAGCATATTACTTCAGGAGACCCTACTATCTTTCTTCAGAATCCCTGCAATCTGCTTTGCCCTCAATATAGCGTGACTGGGTCAGAAGAGGCCCAGTTGTTCTCCCCTCTCCATCACAAACCCTATGAAAGAGTGGTCGGTTCCCAGAAGTTCCCATCACTTCCACCCCCACAGCCAGTTCTTCCGTTTTAGTGAGATTCAGATCTAGAACCACTTTCTCCTCTTTGGAAAGTCACAAAGGGATTGGCTGAACTGCTTCTGTCAGGAAGAGAGCTCTAGAAGGATGGCTAGGTGACAAGTCTCCCACTGTGACTCAATCATGCCTGGACGGCAGACTTGTGACCAGGAGTTTCCCAGACTCCCGTTTCTTTTCTGCCAGGCAGTCTATAATCTACCCTAATGACAAAGTCACTTCTGCTTCTCCCTCCTTTGGCCTTTACTCAAACACTCCTCTCCATCACGCTTCTCTTCTCTAGTTCTAGATTTTCTCACAAAATACACCATCTTAATATACAATTCTCTTCTCAAATGGGGTCTGAATAAGAAATACCCCATCCAGAAACACAGTCCAGGCATGGGTTCCAGTGATACCAACAAGGTCTGATCTCTCTCCTTGTGTTAGGGTCTCTAAGTCCTCTAGGTTATTGAGCATTTGTAGACAGATACGTGCCCGTAGATTCTTTTCTTGGACTTTGTCTCTTGTGGATTTCTGAGCTTCTCAGTTGCTTTCTTCTTTCATTGTGGTTATTCTCTAACTTGGGAGGGGGATGGATTTATACACAGGCAGTCTTTTCCCTCCCCATCTTTTTGGTTTAAATCCCTTTTAATTTGCCAGATCTCTGGCAAATACACTCTGACTAGCTTTTGTTAAACACGCTGCATTTCTGGCCAGGAGTCTGTCATCGCCATATTTTAAACCACGGTTCAGCCAATTCCCATTGATGACAAGTATCTTCTTAGCCGACTGCTCACCTTCCAAATTACTTTTTCCCTTTTTCATCCCATGCCTTCAATGAATAACAGTGATGGTAACCCAATCTGTGGCCCCATAGTCTTCACTTTCTTGCCTAAGACTTTGTAATCATTGGCAGTAGCTTGTAAGTTTCTCCTGGAATTGTCACCTGTGTACAAGTGAACTACCTGGCTTGGGTGCTTGTCATCCATTTGGATAAGTCTTGGAGGGTCTCAGTCCTGAACCAAGGAAAATAAGAGACCACCCTAATTGCTGTGACTGGGTCAGCAAATAGTTGCCTATTTGTGGCCCTGGGAAGAGAGTCACTACGTACCGCTGCTTGCCTCTTCTGCCTCTGCCTCCTCCTTCATGGATGAGCTCTCACCTGGGAATGGCTGGTGATAGGCTACATTCCTGTATACTGGGGAACCAGCAGCTACTTCCTCCTCAGAGCAGCCAGCTTTCCCCTTCAGGAACAGTCTAATTGGCCAGCTGTCCTCTTCCTCCTTTCCTCCTCTGGGTAATATTCCTCCACTCCCCAATGTCCTGACCACAGTCACATATGCCCTCCTCTGTTTCCCATCAAAGCCTCACTTCAGTTTTCTTTAGGAACACTTCATTCTCCTTACCAACCTGAAACATGGAGAGGCTTCTCTGAGCTCTGGGACCCTCTCCTCCAGGAGGGAGATCAGTCTACCTAGAGCCCAAGTCTCTTGGTCTTTCGACTAAGGGAGAAATACAAACACCACACATCTGCTGCGAGTCACTGCACTACTTCACCTACTGCCTATGAGGGCTGAAAATTTGCAGGTAGCTAAGAGGCAAGTGGATAGAGAGGTGGATAGACTTGGTGTCAGGAAGACTGGAGTTCAAATTTGGCCTTAGACAGTTACTAGCTATATGACCGTGGACAAGTTACTTCCCTTTTGCCTGCCTCAGTTTCCTCCTCTGTAAAGTGGGGATAATAAGAGCACCTATTTTCCAGGGTTGTTGTGACGATTAATGAGATAACATAGGGAAGCACTTTACAAATCTTAACACACTCCATCAATGATGCCTATTATTTCTGGTCTTGTTCTTTTGAATTACCTGTGGGTGTTTACAACTTGATCCTGAGCACCTAGTTAAAACCTGACAGCCTTCCCCCTAACTTTATTAGGACATAAGACTTCCTCCAGGCCCAACTACTTTCCTGTTTTTACCAACTGGCCTCACCCACCAAACTGCTGTCAATGTGCCTACCCTACTAATGGTCCTGCTTCACTTTCCTTTCTCACCGTACCTTCAGTGGCCAGCTCCTTTCTCCTTTTCACCCTTGAGTCATCTTCTCCAGACTCTATATTCTATGTCCTCCTTAGCTGTCCTTAACCTTAGTCCTCTTTCAAAAGGTCAATTCTGGACCTGGAGGTGGTTCCCCTTAAAATTTTATTCAGTTTCTCCTCCCAGATTCGAACCCTGCCCTGCTTCACTAGTCCAAACCCCTCCAGTCTCCTACAGGATGATCTCCTTTCGATGTTCTGGTCGGCTCCTGTTGTTCTTTTGACAAAAGCTAGATTTAGACCCCAAAATGTGGATTCAGAAGATCCAGATGTTGTCCTAGCCTCCTGATATCAGCCTCCTTTCCCTAGACAGATATCCAACTTTATGTCCTTGACTCCAGCCTCTACTGCCTTGGACACACACACACACACACACACACACACACACACACAGTACGTTGTCCTCAACACACCTGTGCAGCAGCTTGACATACGAGTAACCCTCCACGAGCACGAAACTACTCCAGTCCCGGAGAAGAGAAGTCAATGCTGAGTGTGAAATTCGGCACTGGATGGTGCTGTAGCGGCCATTACTCCCCGGTGTGTGCAGGTGTTTGGGGACTGGCCTAGGAAGAGACCCAAGGCCTTGACACCACTGGGATAAACTTGGGAGAGGGGTCCCAGATTAGGGACCTACCTCACTTCTCCTGAGGGCTAGTCCTACATCTCTAAGTGCCTCTTGGACGTTTCAACTGGATATCCTAGAGACATCTCAGATTCACCCTGCCCAAAACAGAACCCATGAGCTGTCTTCCCCCAACGCCTACCCCACTTCCAAATTTCCCCATTTCTGTTGGACTCCCTCCTTCTTCCAGTCACTGCCTCAGGGCTCTCTCACCTCCCATACCCAGTCAGTCACCAAGTCTGCTGATTCCACCTCCTCACTAACTCTCCCATCTGTGCTGGGGCAGTCCCTCATCCCCTCTAGCCTCCACCATCCTCCACTCTTTTCTCCACCCAGCTGCCAACACGATTTCCTAAACCTCAAGTCTGACCAAGTCACTCCTCAGTTCAAGAAACACTGAGGCTAAAATATGAAGTCTACCACTCAACACTGGAAGCTTTGCACAACCTGGCTACAGCCTATCTTTCCGGCCTGCTTGCTGACTGCCTGGGTATGAGAAGAAACAGTGTGTCCCAGATGTGGCCCTCTGCATCTCACACCCTCTCCCGGGCCTCCCCCAATACTGAGATGCCCTGGGGCCCACGCCCTTACGTGTCGTGCTCAAGGACCAGCACCAGCCGGTGCATGTGCAGCCAGCGCTGCCAGGAGTTGGCATCCATGGAGAGGACTGGCTTCCAGTAGGCAGCAAACTGAGAGTGAGAGGAGTCAGAGCCACTGTGCTGAAGGGAGAGCACCTGCCAGACAGAAATGGGCATAAGCCAGAGAGCAATGGTCTCGGAGGATGACCAGGATGGGGAGAGCTCAGAGATACGAGGAAGGCCCAGGATGGACCTGACAGATACAGCTATCTGCAGGAACAGAAGGGCAGCTGCACACAAAGACAGAACAATCATGAGCATTTACACAGCTTCAAGGTTTGCAAAGAGCTTTATCATTACTATCTCATTGAATACTTGCAACAACCCTGGAAGGGAGGTCATTATTAACCCCCTTTTACAGATAAGGAAAGTTGAGGTAAACAAAGGTCAAGTGACTTGCCCAGGACCAAGGCAAGAGTTAACTGTAGCTCTTACGGGCTCCAGGCCCAGATCTCTACCCAATGCATCACCAGCTGCCTTTACATAGGCCTCAATTCACTTCTGATCCCCTCCCTTCACCCCCACCCTGCAGGCCCCCAGGGCCCACGCTAGACAGAGGATATTTCCCCAGGAGAAGCAACGGGCTTTCTTTTTAGACTGGCTTAGATCCCTCTCCAAATTACTGGGAGAAAACAAAATGAAAACAATTCTAAAATTTTACTTCCTCCCACCTGCATCATGGGAATGACAAGACACTACCTACTTTTTACTTATTTATGGATAAATATATTTTATACAGCCTTATAGTCAACGGACACTCACAGAGGTGCCCTGGTGGAAAACACTTGGCCCCCAAAGCTAATAAACTGGGCATAGCCTTTGCCCATCACCAAGGGATCCCACTCCTGAGCCTGTATATGCCAAAAATATGAAAAGCAACTCTTTCTGGTGGAAGTGCCAGCCACAGGGGAATGACTGGACCAAGTGCAGCATAAGACTGTCCCAGGAAGTGAACTTGCCATAAAAAAGGATCAATGTGAGGAATTCAGAGACACATCCAGCAGCCAGCACCAAGTCAATGCCAAGCACTGTGCCAGACTACTGGAACAACCCCTGCTCTCTCCAAGCAGAGGCAGTGTGTACGTTTCCTAAGTATATACGAATGAAATACAAGGCAATCTCAGAGGGAAAGACCTACAGAGTCCCAGTGCCTCCTGGAGACAGCTCCAACTCAACACGTCTAAGGCAGAACTAGCTATTTCTTCCCCAAAACCCTCTCCTCCTCCAAACAAGAAGGGGGTGGAGCAAAAATGGTGGAGAAAAGGGAGCTCTCCCAAATTTCCCTCCAAACAACTTTCAATCATGCCTCAAAACAAATTGTGGAGGGGCAGAAACCACAAAAAGATGGAATGAAACAATTTTCCAGCCTAAAGTAACGTAGAAAGTCAGCAGGAAAGGTCTGTGGCACTGAGGTGAGAGTGGAGCACAATCCAGCACAGGCAACAGCTGGCAAGCCAGGCCGTGGGGGCAAGTGAGTCAGCAGTGGTGGCCTCTAGAGCTCTTGGCCCACAGATGATAGAGGGTCATAAAACTGGTGAGAAGATCATGGGGGCCCCTTCACAGACACTGGGTGCAGGGCTCTGTTGATAGGTTACCCATAAGTTGATCTGGATCACAGTGCTGGGTTGCAGTCCCAGGGTGAGAAGAAGCACTAGCACATACACACTCCTTGCGGCTGAAGGAGATCAGGGGACCCTGGTCACAGTTCCAGGGCAGAAAAGACCAGATAAGAGCACACAGACCAGAGCAAAGGGCAGGAGAGTAATAAACACACCTCTCCTTAGATCATACCATCTAGGGGAACTTACAGATGCCCAGAACTAGCACTGACAGCAGTTCCACAAAAAAACTTAAAGCTTGGGACAGTGGCCTTTCCACCCTGGGAGTAGAACCCAACTTTAACATAAAGTTAAAAGTCAAGAAATAGGCTAGAAAAATGAGCAAACAACAAAAAAAGAACCTGACTCCAGAAGGTTGGTGACAGGAGAGATCAAAACGCAAACTCAGAAGACAACGAAGTCAAAATTCCTATATACAAATCCTCAAAGAAAAACGTGAACTGTCTCAAGCTCAAAAAGAATTCCAGGAAGAGCTCCAAAAGGACTTTTAAAATCAAATAACAGAGGTAGAGGAAAAATTGGGAAAAGAAAGGACAGTGATGTAAGAAAATCATGAAAAAAGAGTCAATAGCTTGGTAAAACGAGGTACTAAAAAACACTGAATATAAATACTGAAAAAAAGAAAACAAAAAACACCTTAAAAAACAGAATAGGCCAAATGGTAAAAGAGGCACAAAAATCCACTTAAGAGAAGAATGCCTTAATAAGCAGAATTGGACAAATGAAAAAATGCATACAGAATTCGCTGAAGAAAAGAACACATTAAAAAGGAGAACTGGCCAAATGGAAAAGAAGGTGCAAAAGCTCACTGAAGAAAATAATTCCTTAAATATTAGAATTGGGCACGTGGAAGCTAGTAACTCCACGGGACATCAACAAGCAATAAAACAAAGTCAAAAGAATGAAAAAAATAGAAGAAAATGTGAAATATCTCATTGGAAAAACAACTGACCTGGAAAGCAGATCTAGCAGAGATAATTTAAGAATTATTGGACTATGGAGAAGCCAGGTGGTGCAGTGGTTAGAGCACCAGCCCTGGAGTCAGGAGGACCTGAGTTTAAGTGCGGCCTCAGACACTTGACACTAGCTGTGTGACCCTGGGCAAGTCACTTAACCCTGACTGCCTCACCAAAAAACAAACAAACAAACAAAACAAAACAAAACAAAAAGAATTACTGGACTACCTGAAACCCATGATAAAAAAAAAGAGCCTGAACATCATCTTTCAAGAAATTGTCATGAAAAAACTGCCCTGATATTCTAGAACCAGAGGGTAAAACAGAAATTGAAAGAATCCACTGATCAACTCCTGAAAGAGCTCTCAAAAATGAAAATTCCCTGGAATATTACAGACAAATTCCAGAGCTCCCAGAGCTCCCAGATCAAGAAGAAAATATTGCATGCAGTCAGAAAGAAACAGTTCAACTATCATGGAGCCATAGTTAGGATAACACAAGATTTAGCAGGTTCTACATTAAAGGAGCAGAGTGCTTGGAATAAGATACAAGAAGGCAAAGGAGCTAAAATTACAACCAAGAATCACCTACACAGCAAAGCTAAGTATAATCCTTCAGGGAGAAAAATGAACATTCAGTGAAATAGGAGACTTTCATGCATTTCTTATGAAAAGACTACAGCTGAACGGAAAATTTAACTTTCAATTCCGAGAGTCAAGAGCAGCATAAAAACATAAACATGAAAGAGAAATAAGGGATTCAATAAGGTTAAATTTTTTACATTCCTACATGGGAATCTTTTAAATCCTAACTACCCTGATAATGATAAAGTTCTTAGAAGGAGTATACATAGACAAAGGGAATGGGTGTGAATTGAGTATGATGGAATGATATCCACAAAAATAAAATTAAGGGATGAGAAAGTGGAATGTACTGGGAGAAGGGGAAAGGAAGAGGTAGAACAGGGTAAATTATTCCACATAAAAAGAGGTGTGAAAGAGCTTTTACAGTGGAGGGGAAGATGGGGGAGCACTTGAGTATTACTCTCATTGGAACTGGCTCAAAGAGGGAATAACATACACACTCAGATGGGGTATAGAAATCAATCTTATCCTGCAGGAAAGTAGGAGGGGAACAGGATGGAGGGAGAGAGGGCAACAGAAGGGAGCACAGATTAGGGGAGGTAGCAGTCAGAAGCGAAACACTTTCAAGGATGGACAGGGTGAAAGGAGAGACAGAACAGGATAAATGGGAAAAATAACATGGAGGGAAATAGTTAGCAATCATAACTGTGAAAAAATTTTGCAGCAAGTTTCTCTGATACAGGCCTCATTTCTCAAACATATATAGGAAACTGAGTCAACTACATAAGAACCCAATTACCCCATTGATAAATGGTCAAAGGATATGAACAGGCAGTTTTCAGATGAAGTAATCAAAGCTATTTATAGTCATATGAAAAATGTGCTAAAACACTACTGATTAGAGAAATGCAAATTAAAACAACTTTGAGGTACCACCCCACGCCTATCAGATTGGCTAATATGACAAAAAAGGAAAATGACAAATGTTGGAGATTTGGGAAAATTGAAACACTAATGCATTATTGGAGAAGTTGTGAACTGATTCAAACATTCTGGAAAGCAATTTGGAACTATGCCCAAAGGGCTATTACAAAACCATGTATGCGTTTTGACCTAGCAAGAACACTACTAAGTCTGTATCCCAAAGAGATTAAAAAACAAAAAGGAAAGAGACATATATGTATAAAAATATATAGCAAATAAATATATAGGAAATTTATAGTAGCTCTTTTTGTGGTAGCAAAAAAAAAAAAGGAAACTGAGGGGATGCCCATCAACCGGGGAATGTGACAGAATACTATTGTACTATAAGAAATGATGAAAAAAAAAGAAATGACAAGCAAGATGTCTCAGAATAATCTGGAAAGACTTACATGAACTGATGCAAAATGAAGTAAGCAGAACCAGAACACTGTGCACAGTAACAGCAATATTATATGAAGATCAACTCTGAATAACTTAGTTATTCTCAACAACACAATGATCTAAGACAATTCTGAAGGACATATGATGAACAATGCTATCCCCTTCCAGAGAAAAGAACCGATGGGAGTCTGAATGCAGATCGAAGCATACTTTCTTTTACTTTCTTTATTTTTCTTGAGGGGGAGGAGTGCGGTTCGGTCTGTTTTTGTTCAAAACATAACCAATATGGAAATGTGTTTTGCATGACTACATGTGTATAACCTATATCAAATTAATTACCTTCTCAATGAAGGGGAAAGGGAGGGAGAGAATTTGGAACTCGAAATTTTAAAAAATGAATATTAACAATTGTTTTTACATGTACTTGAGAAAAACAATAAAATATTAAATAGAGGAAAGAATTACTATCATCCTTCTGAAAGCCCTTGGCATTTATCTTGGATTCTTTCACCACTCAGCTCCAATCAGTTGCCAAAACTCATCTTTCTCCCACCACCTCTTTCTCTCTTTTT